GAGATGTCAGAGAAAAGTCAGAAGTGCGTGGTGATAACGAAAATCAAAGCAGCGAATTTAGAGGAGTCAACAGTGCCAACACTGCAAAGAGAAAGAAAAAGATGAAGTCTAAAAAGTGGCCTTTGGATTTGGACAAGGTGATGAGAGGTCATTTTACTTAATGGAAATATATTCAAAGAATGTGCCCTCAGGAAGGTCCTGAGGAGAGGAAGGAAGATGAGGTGCTTTCCCTCATCTGCATTAAGAGTCTGGAGCCTGCGTGCCCAGAATTAACAGGATAAGGGTATTTCTGATTGCTTCTCAGCTGCCTGGCAAGCTGCGCCTTGGAAAGCCTCGACCTAATTCCTCATATCTGCCTATAGTTTCTCTTGCCCACTTGGGAAGAGGGGAGTTGCGGGGTAGCAGGGAATCTCGGTTCAAACAGCTTCTAGTATTTCTTATCAAATAACTTTTGGAAATGCACATCAGACATCAGAAACATGATGAGGGTCTAAACTTTTTTTTTTTACAGAAAAGAACGACAATTATAAATAGATAAGACTTTCGCTGGCAATTTTGTAGGTTTTTTGGTTGCTTTATTATGCACCAATGGAGAATATACCATAGTAACTAGCTGGGCTGAAGTTAAGATTCTAAGCAGAGCTTCCTGGGTAAGCCAATGATACAATAAACTCTGAGGTGCAATAGGAGTATATACAGTGATGTGGCAAAATTGAACCTAAGTACAATATGTGCAGACATAAATCCATGAATCTAGGTTATGGGAATCCATAAGAACAAGAAACTAGCTAAGAAGCTATTAGCACATACATCAGGTAAAGCTCCTCTTCCCCATTCCTTCCCTTTTGTTCTTTTCTTCAAAACAGAAGAATAAGCTGAGTGCAATAAAACTATGATTGCCACGGAAGCAATCAAGTAAAGCACAAGCAGCACGAGAAAATCAACTAGAAGTGTTCCAATTGGTAATTCCTCCTACGTTCTGTGGTTCTGCCACACATGCTTGTTCCGGCCCTGAGTCAATCCCCTCTTCTTTCAAATAGGAAGTTACTTGTACGTCAAATAAAGAGAAGGTAAAGTCTTACTTTCCAAAGACTGCACAGTTTTACTTACTGTTTAGCAGCATGGTTTAATGCATTCTGTTTTCTTAAAAAAGTAATTATATATATAGTAATAACTATATTATATAGTAATATAAAAAGCCAATATAAAAATATCATATTAAAAACACAGTAATAGAGAAAAGGGAGAAAAAGGAACAATTAATATACCACTATAAAACAACACTCTTAGAATATTTGTAAATTCATATCTACACCATTTTATATGTGTGTTAGGCAGTTACAATAGTTAATCAATACTAAATCTATTTTTCACTTAGCATTTTCTACACTGCTACTCGTCTTCATCCATCATTTTGCTTAACCTTTTCCCTTTGTAAGAACGCTCACAATTCTTAGTTATTAAAAATAACTTTATGATGAACATCTTTGTGAATTTTCTCTATATTTTGAATTATTTCCTCCCTAGAATGAATTTCCCAAAAGAAATGACCAATATGACCATTTTAATGGCCAACAGCACATATCAGAATATGTTAATGGCCCTGGACCTAGATGATGTTTGCTATCCCCTCCCCAACGCCCACCCTTCAGCCCCAACCCCACCCCCACTTTAGAGATAGTAGCGTCTCCGTGAAATGGGCAGAATGGAGCTACAGTGCTTACTCTGGGATAATTCACCTTCTTTATAATTCTTATTCCAAAAAATATTAGCTATCTTATGCATCCCTTTAATTTTATGACATTTCATGAGGACTGCTGGTCTAATAAAGTTTGATAAGGCATTTTTAATCAAATACTGTGTATATCTATAATTAGGAAATTCAACAGATTGTGTTGTGAAGGAAAAACTGGGCTGGTCTAACAAGATAACTCACAAGTCTAGGAATACGAAGGAGAGGCTGGGCTGGGCTAACAAGATAATTCACAAATCTAAGTATTAGAATACTGATCTGAGTTCTGCTGGACTAACTTGTAAATTTAAGTTAATTAGTGTTGGTTTGCTGTTCATGTTTTTTGCTAGCCGGCTGGATTTTCAAAGATATATATCTGGCTTTGGAATGTTGGTTTGCTGCCTCCCTGCCTCCACTTTTGTGATAATGATGCTGCTAAAGCTGTTCCATGCCTATTGGCCGAATACCCCAAGCTTGTATTACCCTATAAAACCTCATGTGCACATCTTGGAGGTGCTCAGAGCTTTGGAGCAGAAGCCCCTCTGAGCCCGCCGGCGTAATACATCTGAGTACTCCAACCCTCCAAGTGGTGCTTGTTTCTTGGCTGGCCTGTCGTTTCCGTAACAGTGTTACCAGTTGAGCTCTGTCACCAATGACCAGTGAAGTTCATAGATACTGCACTGGTTTACAAAATATCCACTTCTCAAACACTTTAGGGCAGTATTTCCAAAACTTCAGTCATTCACATGCTACCTTCACTGTCTTTACCATATCTCCACATTATCTGTAATAGTATTTATTTAATCATTCCCTTAAAGGCAATAGTAAATTGGCTCGCTTTATTTTTACTTAACAGCTGCCTGAGCAGTATTATGCATGAAATCAGACTTTAAAAGCTAATTATATTTTTAATGCACATTAAACTAAGCATAACTCTAATTTTCAAAGTTTGAACATGTGCCACCTAAAATTAATAGTTTGTACACCATACTTTGGGAAAATTAAATTAATATGTAACTGATATTTAAGCTATGATCATCTCTTTCTGTTCTTCAGACATAGAAGAATGATGACATCAGATAATATTCTTACTTTTAAATTGGTCTATCCCACAGAACTCTATAAACAAAGTAAATCACAACATCCTGCAATGGTAGATGTCACTGTCAATAACAAGAAACAGAGTCCCCCATATGGAGGCAACAAATACAACAGCAGAAATATGGAATGAGTTTACACCAAAAGCTTGAATGCACATTCCTGTTAAAATTCTTCAACTCATAGACACAACATTTCAGAAAAGAAAGGCATTTACAATGAGGATTTTATTTTGAAAAGCCATTATTCCCTGAAACAGATTAAGGGACAGTAAAAGTAGTACATGTGTTGTGTTCTGGGAAAGGGATCAGTGAAATTATTTTAGAATGGGTAAAGCTATGGAAGTTTAGAAATATTTTGAAATGCGTATTTAGATCACATAGCACTTCAGGGGAGATGGTTTCTTAAGTCAGTCATGCTCATTAAACAGTATTATTTTATGTGAGATTTATAATATCCATCATAATTTACATATGACTTTTTTAATTAAATTTTTTTTTAAAGTTTAAAGTAATTATTGGCTCCCTACTCACGCAAGTGGATAGTCTAAGATTCTGGTGTCTTGTGAGGGGAAGAATTTGAAGAATTAATCTCAGACTCAAAAAGACATTTGAGATGAAGAGTAAATAATTATTAGAATAGTGTTAAGTACTTTGTTTCTCTTCAGGCTGCAGGTTGACAGGATTTGGATGGAAGAGGAGGGAAGGCAGAAGTAAATTATTTTGGTCAGTGGGTGTAAAGACTTGATTTGGCAGGTGTTAAGGCCTGGTGTGTCTTCGAAGTGGTATATTAGCCTACACCCACTACTGCCCAAAGTAATGCACATTGTACAGACATGTAATCTGCTGACACACCACCTACCCCTAGGGGTGCACAGCTTCTGTGGTATAGTTATAATGCTCTTTTTATTTCAATTGAATTGGAGGTCAAGGAGGAAAGAGGAGAAACAGAAGGGTGTGGAGACCATGCTGAAGCGTTATGCATAGACTCGTCCAGCAACAGTGATTACATGTAATGAATTAAAAATGTTCTTAACAAGGAGGTATTAGCCAACCAAAAGCAGATACTGTTTTTCATAAGAGTATTAGTTTTATGAAGTAAAAAGAAAAGGAAGAGGGAGATAGAAGCAAATATTACAAACAGAGGTGCCATTATGTTGTGACATAAGTACCCTGCTATCTGATCCTGCCTCTCTTTGTACCCTTATCCACCTGCAAATTCCAAACAATTGTGAAGGATTTAAGCTATGGCTTTCCTAAGTCATCTAGAGTCTTAACTTTAAATGCTAAAACTGGTTAATGAAAGGACTTTTTAAAATAGAAACACAAAGTTTTCCTAGATATTTTCTCTCTATATAACACTTCTCCACATCCAGAATTCCGGCCAGTTCTTTCCAAATGAGAAAACTGATTCTAAGAGCCTATCTATCTGCTTCTTGGCAAAATTATTGAGCCCATCATAAAAGTGATAGCTTCTGTTATCACCACCTGTGAACTCCAGGCAAATATCCTGGGGTTAAATTTTCAAATAAGTAATGCCAACTCTTTTAATCAAACATCTTGATTAAGAGATAAATAAAGCCAGATGTCCAATAGCAGCTCTAGCAAGCTCCATGACATGAGAACTTTATTATTAAAACCTTAAAAAAAAATGGTTTCTTTTCTCCACTTCCCAATAATGTAACTTTACTGCTTAGGTAGTCCTTCACCGCCCTCCTCCCTTCTCCAATCTGAGGAGTTTTTAGAAATGCAAATATTCTTCCTGGAGCTCTAAACTTATTTAAATGTAGGCGAGAACAGGAGGTGGAAACGGGCTGACAATTTAAGAAAATATTTCCTTAAAAATTATGCCATCTTTTGCACCCCCATCTACTGCGTTTTGTCATTAAAAGGCTGATACTCACCTTTATCTTGAAGAAGAGGAAAAATACTCTGAAATCAGTAAACCTAACTCTAAAAAAAGTTAATTATAGCACAACCTCCCTGAAATAAACTGTTTCTCATAAACAGCCTCCATTTCAGGAAGTAGGACTTTGAAAGAAAACAGCCTGCTATTGTCTCAGAACTTGGTTGTGCAATTCAACCCCGGGACTTTCAGCGGTTCTGCACCATAAGACACGCCCCTTTAGGAACTGTGGTGGTGAAAGGTATTCTGGGAGTTGTATTACTACAGAAAAGTTCCTTCTTCTAAAGAAAGTGCAAGAAAATGCCCTATTTGGACTAAATCAGAATGGAGAGCCAGTGCCCAGAGAGCCGAGGGAAGAGAATGTCAGTAGGAAGTAGGAAACAATGAACATGATACTGTTTCTTATTTGTTGTCAAAAGACAAACTAAAATGTTATGGCTCTATTCAGCGCTCGATCTATTTTAGAATTACTGTGCCAGAATTTAGCTGCTTGTCACAAGAACACCTGTATTACCAAGTTTTTTTGAATGGAAAAGTGAAGTTCGAATTTTTCTCATAGAAAATCTCGTTGGGCTGATTGCTAAGGAGTGTCTAACTGTGTTACATAGTGGACACCTCCCTTCAATCTAAATCTGCGGCTCCAGATTTTGACAAAAAAAATCAGAAGTACATGAAAAGATTTCTTTAAATGTCTAACAACATTTCATCGGAAAAGTTACTGAAGTCAACAGTATTTTAACGTTCTCTGTCCTTTCTGTGCCTACTGGGTTATAGAAGTGTCCTCTGGGGTGAAGGAGTAAGAGATTTCATTAGCAGTAATTTGATTAGTCTTGGTAAAGCCTTCTGGTATATTTCTCCAAAAATGAGAAAGTGAATGACTCTAATAACTGAGTAATAAGTCCTTGGGCAAGTCTGGTGGTTTCTAACTCTACTTCCCCACAAAATAGGAAAAAGAAATACTTAATTATTCAGCCACTTAGTATTTCAAGTACTAAATAGTATTTAGATCACTTAAAATTTTTATGATAGATCACTATGTAATTCTTAATATATGACCTTAGAAGAAGTTGAGATAACCAAATGATATTAGTATAACAAAACTCTTTCTGTCTCCTTTTATGCATGTAAAGAGTTTTCTTTGTATGTATTTTTTTAAAAATAGAATACTGGTTTATTCTTTCAGTAACATTCAACCATGAACAATTTTTTAAAACCCCATAAATCTCATTGAGAAATGCATTTTCCATAAAAGTTTATTCTGTTTAATAATTATTCACCAAAATATATCATTTATTTTTCTTTCTAATCAATTATAAATTCATAATAATTATACTGTATAACTCAATATTTAAAAAATTAATACTTAGAGTCTATGGCAAGAAGAAATAAATTTTTAAAATTTCAATATCCACATGTCTTTATTATAAAGAAGTATGATGAAAAAACTTTTAATCATGTAAACTATTAATATTAAAAGAAAATTCTATGGAGAAAGTGGAATAAAAGTTTAAGGAGATAAATAACATAAACTTCTAATTGTTAAACTTGTACATGTGTTTTTAAGTGGATGACGGGGGCATCAAATCATTAGTATATATAATTTTCATTGGATACTTCTAAAAGAGTTTTTAAACATCTGACTTGGATCCTTTGCAACCATTTAAAGTGATGATAAAATGAGTATCAACTTAAAAATGTGTAAGAGAGTTATTGTTTTTGTAAAATTCTGTCTGAGGGTAAATGAGCAAAAATGTTAGAAACTCAGTGCTTGGGGGAAGGGACTAAATATTCTAGAGCCTATAAAAAGGGCACTGGATACTTGGGAATGGAAAGAGAGAAAAGGGTACCGAGACACCTATCATCCTGAAAGCCAGGTAGGGGGAAGTGATGGATGGGTGGGCCATATTTCAGTGAAGAGGCAGGGGTCAACAGGACTAACTGATGCAGAGAAGTGAAGGAGGATGGGGACAGAGAAGTGTCCGTTGGCTCGGCAAGTAGGTCAAGTACAGCTTTAAAAGAACAAACTCAGTGGAGTGGTGGCAGAAGGCAGATGGCATATTTCTAAAATCCTAGTAAATAAGTAGAGTAGAAAGGGACTCTCCATCTAAGCCTAGACTAAATAAAATATTCAGGTGGAGCCTATTTTTGGAGGAGGTTACATTCCTTCCAAAGGGCTTCAGTGTTGGAGCAAGATGATCTCAAGACCAGCTTAACCCTTTTATTGTATCACTAATTATATTATAAACTTGAAGCCAGAAAAGCTGGGAATAGTGATATTTCTATGGGGATAATGGCCAGAATGTCATTCCAGAAATTTCTTCTTAGAATTACACCTGTAGCTGTCAGCACAATGATGGTAAACATAAAGAAAGAACCTGAGATGGAGGATAGAAGGAGAACTTATTCCAGGTATGGCATTTTTTCTGAGGAAAGACTTATTTTATAAGAAAATGAAATGATTGTGTTTTAAATTAAATAATGTGGGTCTTCTCAGCAGTATAAAAAGTTGTTATTTGTTAGGATGCTAGTAATTTATTATGTTTTAAAAATTAATGGAGAAGCATTAACAAATGAAACCTAAATACTTAAATATAATATCAAAGAAGGTTTTGGGGCTTGTGGGTTTTTTTAAAATAATTAATTAATTAATTAATTAATTTTTACTGAAAATGAATACTATATGACAAAGTTTAGATTAAATGAGGCAAAGATTAGCCTACTTGGTTTGAAGGATATGAAACAGGCAGAAACAATGCACCCCCCAAAACTGGCCCTTCTTTTCCTGCTTACCTAGCCTCTGGCTCTCACAAAGAATGACCGGGGTTTCCAGGGTCAGGATCCACTGAGGTCTCTCATAACCCGTTGGTGTCCTCTAACAACAACAACAAAAAGGTGTTCAATTGTTGCATAAAAATTACCATAAATTTAGCAGTTTAAAACAGAATTCATTAAATTATCTGTTCTACGAACAAAATGTAAAATATGTATAAATGAAGACATTTAAATGTCCATAAAATGATATCGTCACTAGAGCATGGACATTTTATAAGTATTTAAGAATCTAGAGGAAAAGTAATAAAGGTTCTATGATATACAAAAACACAAAAATCAGCACCCATTTATAATTTCAGTGTTTGGTCAGACAGCAGTCTGGGCACATTCTAGCTGAGAACACTGCTGCAGTTCTCACCTGAGGCTTGGGGCGGGGGTGGTCTCCGGCAAGGCTGGAAGTTGTTGACAGAATTCCAGATACAGGACCAAGGTTCCCATTTTCTTGGTAGCTGTTGGCAGGGGACCACTCTCAGCTCATAGATGTCAACCACAGTCCCTTGCCATGTGTTTCTCTGTAGGCAGTCCTTGACATGGATGTTTGCTTCCAGGCAAGCAGGGGTGGTGTCTCTGACTTCCTGAAGGGCTTGGCCCTTTTATGGATTCATGTGATTCGGTCTGGCCCAACCTGATAATCTCCCTAGAGTTCCCAGATAATTGATTAGAAACCTGGCACAGGAGTGATATCCTATCACAGTCACAGATTCTGCCCACACTCAAGGGATTGTACAAATTGTGTACACCAAGGGGTAGGAATCTTGGGGGCCACCCTAAAGTCCTGCCTGTCAGCAACTTCCCCAGAACTGCCTCCAGGGAGAGGTAGAACAGATGGCTCAAAACAGGCTGACTCCTCCTCTCCCTCCAGCCTCCAGGTGTCCTGCCTCTGGGGGCTCCAGTTTTCTCCTCACCATCTGATCATTCTCTCAAGGGCCTGGATTTTATTGCAGTCCTCCATCATGTGAAAAATGTTGAGGCATCAAAGCATTGAGACCTTTCTCTCAGGAGACTTCTTTCACTTGGTTCTTTCTAAAAAAGCTTTAAAAAAATTTTTTTAATGTGTGTGTAACCATAATGCATGCAAATGAGAGAAAAATCCAAACATTTTGAAAAAGTACACAGTGAAATGTATCTCCTACCTCCACCTTCTGCCCTCTCTCAAATTCTTTTTCTCAGATTAACCTATATTACAGTTCTATTTCTTGAATCTCTGCAGATAGTTCATGCATTTACAAACTTTTTTCTTCTCCCACAAACGTAGCATTTTTGTTCTGCACTTTGGTTTTTTCTCTAGTGGTGCATCCAGCAGACCTTTCCACATACGTCTAAACTGTTTCCATTGCAGTTGCTTAACCCCAAGAACAGGGAGAAAGAGAAGTCCAGACTAGCTTTTCTTCATTTCCATCTCAACACTTTGGGCCTTCTCCTGAGCCCCATTTAGGGGATTATGATAAAAGAGCTGAGTTATCTCAGTAGATTCTGAATGTTTTCACTGGTTGGCAGAGAGCATCAGCCCTGACGTGGGGCATTCCTGGGTTATTCCAAATCTGAACATCTGAGCTGGACAGGGGAGAATTAGATGAATCTGTATCCAAGGTGCTTAGAGTACATTGAGCAGAAGGCAAGTATCATATAACCCAGTTACCATCAAGCAACACAAACAAGCAATACTTTTAAATTTTTTCCTATAGTACGTGATTGTATTTCCACAAATTAGCTTCCTCTATTTTTTATTATAAGTGAAATACAGTAGATTTTCAGGTACATCAGCTTAATCGTGGGCTTGTGGAAGTATCTAAAAACTGTTTTTAGGATTCTTTCCATGGACAAATATTTCTGTAGTTCCAAACAAGGAAAGACCTGAATTAGAAATTATGTTGAAATCCATATTGTGGAGGTGGGAGTGGTGATAGCAATGGGAACAGTTACTGAAGGGGGCACCATCAATTGAATATGAGAGCTAAGACAGAATTTTACTTTATTGTTAAACATTAATACAATTTGGAAATTTCAAATTGTTCAAAGCTAGACAGAAATACATTGGATTGTGGGCATTTCATGTTATTTTCAAATTAAATGATTCATCTCTGATAATTCAAACAGTAAATCTCTCTCTCTTTTGTATCAGTAATATACATGCCTAGTGTTTTCTTCTGTTTTCCTTTGATAAACAATTCTGG